ATTCTGTGGCCTGCGTTGTGAAGGAGGTCAGACTAGATGATCATGATGGTCCCTTCTGACCTAAATATCTGTGAATCTATGAATCTCTTAGTCTATAAGGTGCCACAGGACTCTTTGCTGCTCCTACCCCAACATAGTAACTCCTCCTCCACGAGAGGCGAAGGGCTTATGTTGGTGTAGTTAGGGTGAGACACTGTGTTCCCTACATGAGCTGTTGGCTGACTTGTCAATTGCACAGCTCCACAACGCCCCACCGCTCCAAGCCGGGGGTGGGGGGCAAGAAGCTCGGAGGCAGCTGGGCTCCTGGCATGGAGCGTTGGTGCTCAGCACCCCACGCTGCCCCTCTTCAGTCAGTGGAACCACCAACAGAAGAAGGGTAGTGTGGATATCACCTAACGTAGGTCAACTTAAAATTGTAGTGTAGACATGCCCTAACTCTGCAGAGCAGACAGATCCTACGTGGCAAAGTGGAGGAGACTTGGCTGTGTTACAGAAGAGCCCTGATTCTGTTCCTAGCTCTGCCTGAAGTGGGCAGGTTCTTACACCAGGTCTTAACAGTTCACTTGCATGATCTACACATGAGTTAATGCTGCTCAAGTTAACGGAGCTCAAGGGAGAGAGGCCACGCTGTGAAGTCGCACACAGCTTGCCCAGAGTGATTGGATTAGCAGCAGTGCGGTTGTGCTAACTCCCGCGATAGCCCAGACCCTGATGGGCCAGCCAACTGGAGTTAAAAGTGCTTTCATACTCACGAAGGGGTTTTGTGTGTGTACGGGGCAGTGGGGCAGAAGGGGAGTGAAAACAAGCCCTTGAGCTCAGTTATCTGTTGCCATGTCTACACTACAGGGCCCATGTCAGCATGACCCCTGCAATGTCAACAGAAGGAGCTTTTCTGCCCGGAAGTAACTCTACCTCCCCGAAGGATGTGTCAACAGAAGCACTTTCTCCTGTTGGCTTAGCTGCACTGGGGGCTCTGCCAGCATGTGTCACCTAGGGGTGTGACTAGCCAATGTAGCTCTGCAAGCACAACTTTTTAGTGTCAGCCTGGCCTGTAAAATGGGTGAATGATGTTATGAGAGCTGGGTTCAGAATAAGGGTGAGGAAAGGGCACAGAACTTGCAACAGCAGGCAGCGGAGGAGCTGGGGCTAGAACTCATGGTCTCTGAGCTTGTATTTTAGTGGCCCTTCCCATGTCTCCTGGGCATGGCACGTAGGAGTTTCACTCACTGTACTTTGCTTCCCTGAAATCTTGTGAAAGCCAAGATTTCTCACGTCCTCACAGGAATCATAGAATATCAGGGATGGAAGAGACCTCAGGAGGTCATCTAGTCCAACCTCCTGCTCAAACCAGGACCAATCCCCAACTAAATCATCCCAGCCAGGGCTTTGTCAAGCTGGGCCTTAAAAACCTCTAAGGAAGGAGATTCCACCACCTCCCTAGGTAACCCATTCCAGTGTTTCACCACCCTCCTAGTGAAATAGTTTTTCCTGATATCCAACCTAGATCTCCCCTACTGCAACTTGAGACCACTGCTTCTTTTTCTGTCATCTGCCACCACTGAGAACAGCCTAGCTCCATCCTCTTTGGTACCCCTCTTCAGGTAATTGAAAGCTGCTATCAAATCCCCCCTCATTCTTCTCTTCCGCAGACTAAACAATCCCAGTTCCCTCAGCCTCTCCTCATAAATCATGTGCCACAGTCCCCTGATCATTTTAATTGCCCTCTGCTGGACTGTCTCCAATTTGTCCACATCCCTTCTGCAGTGGGGGGACCAAAACTGGACGCAATACTCCAGATGTGGCCTCCCCAGTGCCAAATAGAGGGGAATAATCACTTTCCTCGATCTACTGGCAATGCTCCTACTAATGCAGCCCAGTATGCCATTAGTCTTCTTGATAGCAAGGGCACACTGTTGACTCATATCCAGCTTCTCATCCACTGTAATGCCCAGGTCCTTTTCTGCCAAATGGCCGCTTAGCCAGTCAGTCCCCAGCCTGTAGCGGTGCATTGGATTCTGCACTTGTCCTTGTTGAACCTCATCAGATTTCTTTTGGCCCAATCCTCCAATTTGTCTAGGTCACTCTGGACCCTATCCCTACCCTCCAGCGTATTCCCCCATCTTAGTGTCATCCATGAACTTGTTGAGGGTGCAATTCATCCCATCATCCAGATCATTAATGAAGATGTTGAACAAAACCGGCCCCAGGACCGACCCTTGGGGCACTCCGCTTGATACCGGCTGCCAACTAGACATGGGGCCATTGATCACTACCTGCTGAGCCCGACGATCTAGCCAGCTTTCTATCCACCTTATCGTCCATTCATCCAGTCCATACTTCTTTAACTTGCTGGCAAGAATACTGTGGGAGACTGTATCAAAAGCTTTGCTAAAGTCAAGATATAGCACATCCACCGCTTTCCCTGTATCCACAGAGCCAGTTATCTCAACAAATATGTATAGCAGGGGCCATGATCCTATTGTTAATGTTGCCAACAATCATGCAAACATCTCATCAGACAGCCCAGATTTTATTTATTTACTCGTGTCATTTTTTGATCCACCTTCAGTTGCCACAAGGTGTCCAGGTGCCGCTTGGGCCCACAGCCGTCTCCATGCGGGTATCAGGTCACTCCCATGGCTGCCTCCTTGCAGGGAGGAACTTACGACTGAGAAGGGGAGAGAGAGTAATAGCTCAGGGCAGACAGGCAGTGGGTGGTGTGTTATGATCCTGAAAAATTATAACTCAGTTAATTTCTGATCTGCAAGTAAATGAAGAAATGCATATTCATCAACTATGCAAATTAGACAGTGGCATTTGCATTAATTCTCCAGCTTTGTGGCCCTTCAGCCTTACAAGGTATGGACGTGAAGAACCACGTTTTCAAGTAGCTTCTGATTTTTGGGTGCCTGCCTTGATTTCTGGTCCCAGCTTGAGACACTTATGGCCGGACTTGCAAGTGCGCTGAGCACCCACATCTTCAGATGTTGTCAATGAGAGCTGTAAGTGCTAGAAATCCGGCTCAGGGTGTCTCATGTCAGGCAATGCCGAGTCAAGGCACCTAAAAGCAGAGGTCACGTGCGAACAGAGCTGTCAGTGAGGTTTTGAGGCAGAATGTGCAAGGGTGAGCGTAGATAGCGTTCGGGGCTAGGCCTGTGAAATCCTCCCTTCCTGTATCCCCAGAGGGACTCCCTGGTAAGGAGGGAGAGCTGCTAAGAGATCTCTTGCTTGACGACTCAACTGAGCATCGCCTGGAGAGAGATGGCCATGGTGACCCTGCACAGGTGTTTGTGGGTGTAAAACCCAAGGAGGGAGAAGGAATGATTGTTCCAGCTGGTGGTTGGGGTAGGATGTAGGCCCACCTGTCTGGCTCCTCATTCCCTGCCGGGGGGATCAGTGTAGTGCAGAGATGGGGTGCAGGATTAAAGAAAAACACATGCCGTGGCCACCCTTGTGCTCTCTCAGTTGCAATGACCAGAGGTGAGTTAGGGGCCCGAATGTTGCTGTTGAGGAATGGGATGCGCGTAACCTCAGGGCTAGGCTAGCTGTGTTAGCCATGGGTAGACAGCGGGACAGAGAAGAAGTGCAGGGCCAGCCCCATGGAAATCCATCCTGCTGAGGGAGTGGGAAGAACGTTAGGGGTCTGTGCTGTGAGGAGAGGGGTCGTGTTCCTCCTAAATGGGCATGTCGGAGCTATTCGGCTGCACCATCGTCTCCCTGGGGACATTCTGGGAACCTGTTCGCTGGGGGCTCTGCCATTCCATTGCACAAAGCCCAGGGAGCCGATTGCAGGGGACTCTTCTCTCTCTCCCTCCTCCCACCCCCCCCCGTGCTGGATTAGATGGGCCCTAACTAGTCTCTGCTTCTCTACTGAGAGGAGCTGGTGAGATCTGTGGGGCAGTGGGTTCCTGCTGAGCCATGAAGGGGTATGAGGTGGTGTGGGCTGTTACTGATTCGTTGTCTTCCAGGTCTGTTGTGATCCTTCATCATCCCACACTCTCTGTGCAGGGATGGTCTGGGGAAGGCACCCTCCATCTTGGTTACCCCCTGAGAGCCACAGGGCTTTCCTGCATGGGGCTTAGGGGTGCCGTCCTCATCCCACTCTGACCCCTTGGGGACTCCTCCCACCTGGCCCTGCTTTGCCTTCGACCCTCAAATGTTGTGTTGTTGCCACTATCTTTCCAGCCAAAAGGATCCTAGAGCAGCTGCTCCTTAGCACCCTCCTGCTCCATCAGGATCTGGGTTTGATTGCCAGGCCTGGGGGTGCTGCAGCTCACCCCAGCCAGGCAGCGTCCCTTGTCTCCCAGGCCCTTGAGCTGGAGGTGGATGGCTCCAGTGAAGGGACCAGAGGGTGGTCTCTAGGGAGTGAAGGGGGAATCCTTATGGCTGTGGGAGCCCTGCTGCCCGAGATGGCGACTACACTGAACCCCAGGGCCATGCTGGTGGGGGAGAGGGGCACCCTTCTGCCTCACAGGCCCTTTCATAAAAGACCAACACAACCGGGCCATCGCCCTTCCTGGGGCAGGAGGGGCAGCCTTCTGCTGCTGTCAGCTGGCACCTGGGGGCAGGACCCCCACATTGTCACCTGCTGCCTACAGGGGACAGAGGGGCTGCCCTGAAGCAGAGGCCCCGACACTGATTTCATGCACTGAGCCTGACGAGATGGGCCGGGGCGTAGGCCTGGTGTGCGGAGCAGGAGAGGATAAACCATGCACAGATGTGTTGAATAAACCCACTGCGTGTGCCCCTGCCCCATGGAGTCGGTCCCAGGCCCGTAGCGGTGTCCGGGAGCAGGCTCTGGATAAAACTCATGTCATGTCAAAGTTCCAGCTCTGGCACCATCTGTCCTGCATGGGGAGGAGGCTGGGCCTGGCAGGGAGTGGGTGGGTGCGTGACCTAGCCAGGCCTTGCTGTGTGGCACCTACTGAGCTGTGGAGGGGGTAACGGAGCCCAGCAGCAAGTGCCACACTGTGACCCTCTCTCTGTTTGCCTCCTTGCAGAATGGCGGAGCCTCGCTTTAACAACCCCTACTTCTGGCCGCCCCCTCCCACCATGCCCAGCCAGGTAAGACCCCCTCCCTACCCTGCAGCAAGAGAAGCGAGGAGGGGCAGCTTTTTGCAGTCGTGGGTGAGGTCCGGCTGCAGAGCAGCACGATCCCAGGTAGTGGCTGTTGGGGGCTGTGGCAGGGCCAGCCGAGACCCCGGGAAGAGCAGTGGGCAGGGCCACGGCCGGGAGGGACTGACCCCTGGGGAGAGTTTAAGGTTGCTAAAGTCCTGTGGCAAGTGGCGATGAGAGACCATGTTTCAGGACCCACGGAGCTGTTGGGCTGGGGAGCCAGGGAAGGAAGCCCCTTTGCGAGGCTCAGGGGTAGACGAGAAGGGACCATCCGGCCCTGAGCTCCGGGGGGTGGGGTGCGCGCGAGAGAGTGCATTAGATGAGCTATTGCCTCTGCTCCGTCTGCAGCGTCTATGGCAGGTACCCCAGCTGTGGCTGGCTGGGCGAGGGGCAGCCTTTGGCAGGCATCCCAGCGCAGAACAGTGTGCCAGCTAGCTTGGTGGGTGGGTGGAAGCTCAGGGCCACATGCTGGCGTAGGATCTGCCAGTGCTGGGGGCCCCACTGCATGTTGGGACGCATGCAGCTCCAGCAAGAGTCTGGCTCTCTTTCCCCCAAGCAGTCGCAGAGGTGGGGCCGCGGGTGGGAGCACCCTTCCCCTCTCCACATGTGGATTTGCAGAGGGGGGGCCATGCCCCAGAACAGTGGCACAGTTGGGGGGTGGGAGCTAGTGTCCCCTCGCCTGTGCTGTGCCGGGGCTGGCAGTTTCCCTGTGAGGCCAGTACCTGCCATGCTCCCGTGCCTCTGGCAGTGACATGTGCATCTTGCTTTCCTCGTCCCAGCTGGACAACTTGGTTCTGATCAATAAAATCAAGGAGCAGCTGATGGCAGAGAAGATCCGGCCCCCTCACCTGCCCCCAACCTCGGTGTCCTCCCAGCAGCCCCTGCTGGTGCCCCCCTCGCCTGCGGAGAGCAGCCAGTCCATCATGTCCCTCCCCAAACTGCAGCAGGTCCCAGGGCTGCACCCACAGGCCGTCCCCCAGCCTGACGTGGCCCTGCATGCCCGGCCGGCCACCAGCACGGTCACAGGTAACCACAGCCCAGCAGCACCGTGGGGAGCAGCGTGGGGGGGGGAGGGAAGGGAAGGGAAGGGGCTTCCGAGCAGGGTTAGAGGGGTAGGGATGTGCATCTCTGCCCAGGCAGGAAGGGACAGGACTCCAGAGGAGCGGGGCCCCCTGTGTTTGAGGGAACCCAGATTACCTGGCAGGATCCCTAGGCAGAGGCTGGCTCTGCCCCCCAACTCTTAGGCCATGCTCACCCCCTTGGCAGGACGATCTGTTTCACCCGCTGCCCTTTCTGCCGACGGGGTACGGAACCTCTCAGTGCTATGTTTCTGCCACATGGAACCCCCGTGTGCTATGTTGCAGCTGCAGGGGGTCCCCTCCTGCCTCCATTATCAGGGGCTGGGAGTTTTGGGGGGGCAATGGGTCAGCCCCCCCCCCCATGGCTTGGGTCCCCTAAGTGGGATCAACTGTATCGGGGAAGCCACGCCTGTCCGGGGAGCTCCCTGAGATGGGAGCTTAGTATCCGAAAGCTGGCTGGCCCCTGGGGGAGAAGGGCGAGCTCCATCCCTGCTGAGCTGCGTGCCAGTGACCCCCCACCCTCCCCCTTTACCTCTCAGGCCTGGGGCTGGCCTCCCGTGCCCCCGCGGTCAGCACCTCGGAATCCAGCACTGGTACCAGCACCCCCTCCACCCCAACCTCCACCAGCCAGAGCAGACTCATCGCTTCCTCGCCCACCCTCATCTCAGGGATCACCAGCCCCCCACTCCTGGACTCCATCAAGACAATCCAGGGCCACAGCCTGCTGGGGGCGCCCAAGTCAGAGCGAGGGCGGAAGAAGATCAAGGCGGAGAACCCGTCGGGGCCACCCGTCCTCGTGGTGCCCTACCCCATCCTGGCCTCAGGCGAGACCGCTAAAGAGGGCAAAACCTACAGGTTGGAACATACACAGCAAAGTGCCACTTCTTCAGCCCCAGGAGCCCTGGGCTGGCGGGCAGCCCCCACACCAGCTTGGCTCTGCTGGCTGCTCCCTTCCCTCTGCTGAAGGAGGGGCACCTGGCATGGGAACAGCCCCTTTCTGTTCGGGTGCCACCCTATGGCCTTCGTTTGGCCAGGCCTCTACTGAGGTGTGGCCCCACCCTCCATGCACCACCCTCTGTGCCAGAGTGGGGCATGAGCACAGGACTGGCACCCAGGACTCCTGTGTCCTAGTCCCATCCTTAGGAGGGGGGTGGGAATCAGGGTGACTGGGTTCCTTCTGTTCCTGGTTCTGACACTGATTCCCTGGGTGACCTTGGGCAAGTCGCTTCCCTTTTCTGTGCCTCAGTTTCCCCATCCGTGGAATGTGGCGCTCACAGTTGCCTGTCTTGTGGGGGACAGTTGTGCGGACTGAAAGGTCAGATGGTCCCCTTGGCTACTGACCCAGTGCTGGTGAGCGGAAGTTGTGCTCCCCCTCCAGCTGTCCTCAGTCTCTGCATTGTTAGCTTCTGCAGCCATGATGCTGCTGTGGGACCCATCAGAGACTGGCTGCCCTGCCCCACCACACTGGCTTCCCATGGACTTTCCCCTTGCTCCGCGCAGCCTACAGAACAGTGTGTGCCCATCACCAGGGAATGGGACAAGTCTTGGGTAGGAAGCCAGGCCTGTTCGGTGGATCTGGCCCATGGCAGCCAGGCCGGAGTTACTCCCAGGGCAGGCCGGGGCTGCAATGGCCTCATGTCCCGCACTGTTCTCAGACCCCGGTCCCTGTAGCACTGCAGGGCACGCCGTCCTAGAGCTGGCAGCATGTCTCCAAGGTGCAGGGCCTGGCGGGGGGGCGTGCTGCTTGCCATTCCTTTGCTGATGCCCCTGGGCCCCTCTCGCTGTCCCTTCCCAGGTGTAAAGTCTGCCCCCTTACCTTCTTCACCAAGTCGGAGATGCAGATCCACTCCAAGTCACACACAGAGGCCAAACCCCACAAGTGCCCGCACTGCTCCAAATCCTTCGCCAACGCCTCCTACCTGGCCCAGCACCTGCGCATCCACCTGGGCGTGAAGCCGTATCACTGCTCCTACTGTGAGAAATCCTTCCGCCAGCTCTCCCATCTCCAGCAGCACACCAGGTGAGGGGTGGGGCTGCCCAGGGAACGGGGCCCAGCTGACTGGGGAGCGTTGCAATGGCCAATGCCTGGCTGGCTCTGAGCAGGTGCCACCCGCTTGCCCCGTGGCATCCCAGAGCAAACAGGCCTCTGACAGCTGGACCAAGCCTGTAACTCCTGTCTGGCTGAACTGCTTTGTCCCACAGCCTTTGTCCCAGAGCAGCTGGGAAGCTGTAGCCTCACCATTCCTCTGTCCCCCCGATGGTCCCACAGTGCAGTGCTTTGTATGGGGAGATTACCCCTAGCCACCTTCACCCATCAACAGCGCCGGGCACTATGGGTAGGGGAGGGACCAAATTCATGGTCCTTTTTGGTCAATTTCACGGTCATTGGATTTTAAAAATCGTAAATTTCAAGATTTCAGCTATTTAAACCTGAAATTTCAGGGTGTTCTACTTGTAAGGGGCCTGACCCAAAAAGGAGTTGTGGGGGGTCACAAGGTTATTGTGGGGGGGGTTCATATGGTTACCTTTACTTCTGCACTGGTGCTGCCTTCAGAGCTGGGCAACTGGAGAGTGGTGGCTGTTGGCCGGGAGCCCAGTCTGAAGGCAGAGCCAGCAGCAGCACAGAAGAAAAGGTGACGTGGTTTGGTATTGGTGGGGCGCTGCCTTCAGAGCTGGGCACGTGGCCAACAGCCACCCACTCTCTGGCTGGTAGCACAGAAGTAAGGGTGGCAATACCGTGACCCCTCTAAAATAACTGTGCAACCCCCCCTGCAGCTCGCTTTTGGGTAGGGTTACCAGCTTTGGTTGGATGAATTCCTGGAGGTTTCATCACACGATATTATCTTTAATTCTTGGAGAGTCCAGGACAATCCTGGAAGGTTGGCAACCCTGCTTTTGTGTCAGGACCTCCAATTTGAGAAACTCTGGTCTCCCCTGTGAAATCTGTAGAGTAGAGGGTGAAAGCACCCAATAGACCAGATTTCACAGGGGGAGACCAGGTTTCACAAGCCGTGACACGTTTTTTCATGGCTGTGAATTTGGTAGGGCCCTAACTATGGGATAGCAGCCTCAGGAGTCCCAGAATGCACTGGGATAAGCACAGCCTGGGTATGCCACTGCTGTCCTGTCAGGAGCCAGCTGCTGGTAGCCCCCCACTTCATCTGTACCACTGAGGTGTGTCCAGCCTTGAGCTCCCCGAGAGCCATGTAAAAATTCACCAGAACCTATGAGACCTGGCTCAGTGGTGATAGGTCTGCACCCCTTGCACCAGTGTTTGCATGCAGAGGGTGTGTGGCACGTGCCCCTGGTGTCTCATGCCAGGTGCCAGATTTTGCCTGTGAACAGGTGCCCAGCCATCCTGTTGCATGGAGCTGTGGAATCTAGAATCATAGAAGTTTAGGGTTGGAAGAGACCTCAGGAGGTCATCAAGTCCAACCCCCTGCTCAAAGCAGGACCAACCCCAACTAAATCATCTCAGCCAGGGCTTTGTCAAGCCGGGTTTTAAAAACCTCTTAAGGATGGAGATTCCACCACCTCCCTAGGTAACCCATCCCAGTGCTTCACCACCCTCCTAGTGAAATAGTTTTTCCTAATATCCAACCTAGACCTCCCCTACTGCAACTTGAGACCACTGCTTCTTGTTCTGTCATCTGCCACCACTGAGAACAGCCGAGCTTCATCCTCTTTGGAACCCCCCTTCAGGTAGTTGAAGGCTGCTATCTAGCCCAGGCTTTCCGATTGGGCCTGACTGGGAGAGCGTTTCTCTGGCCACCTCAGGACCCCTAGAATGATACAGGGTTTGACTCCTATTCCCACCCTTGGCTTCCTCTCCCTTTGCCCCTGGGTTCCTGCACTGCCCCCTAGCATCAAACATGAAGGAGCAGGCTGGCCCCTCTACTCTGGGCGCCTGAGTGGAATGAAGCCAGAGGGACAATTGCCTCCTGTGAGCCCTTGGGACAGGCCAGCCATCCTCTGCCTGCCTCCTTGGACTGGCCCTATAAACCTCCCTCCCTCTTTCCCTTAAGGGTGCCACCTGTCCAGGTTTGCCCAGGATCGTCCCTCTTTTGAGGTAGCTGTACTGGGAGATCTGTCAGGGTGCTCAGTACCTGGCCAGTCTAATGGGCCCAGGAGCATCCCGGTTGTCCTGGGTTTTTGTACTCAGAGGTGGCAGCTCTGCCCTCCCTCCGGGCTGAACAAGTCAGAGGCCATGATCTTGCTGATCAGGAAATAACTAAACTGCCAGGTGGTGCCAACACTTTTGCAGCGCCTGTCTTCACCACGGAGTTAGCGTGGGCCTCCTCTCGAGAGAGCCCGGTTCCAGTGGGCACGGCCAGGCTGTGTCAGAGCTCCCCGCTGCCAGGCCTGCGCTGGCCCTGCCCGCGCCGGTGTGAGGTGCTAGGACTTCTGGGGGCACAGCCCCGGGCGTTCACGTTGAGGGGCTGGGCGGCTCTGTCGGTATTTCCCAGGGGATTGAGGAAGAACTGATCTGCCCCCCGGGAACGGGGGAGCATGGTGGGAAGGCCGTGGCAGAGTGGCACTAGTCTGTGGCCCCACAGCAGGGGAGGTGACAAGTGGTGCACGTCTCGGGCCAGCCAGCTTGAGCTAAAAGCACCACTGGACCTGAGTGAGGGAGTTTGTGCGAACGGGACATTCGGGTTCTAACTCCAGGGGAGGCAAGGGGAGGCTTGCCCCAAGCTGGCGTTGGCTAGACAGCATGCTGGGGGCCCACTGCCCTGCAGCTGGGGTGGTCCGGCTCCACCCCATTGCGGGAGGGGGCTGGCTCCTGCTTTTGTGTTTGTGGCTCTCGCAGGGCTGGAATCCAGCATGCTAACAGACGCAGCCCTTTTGGGGGACAGAGCCACCTTGCTCACTGAGTGGGGCAGGAGAGAAGGGGGCTGTCCAGGTACCCTGTGTGTGCTGGGGCCTTAGAGGGCCAGTGCATCCCCACGGTAGAGTAGGGCAGGGGGGTTGATCCCATTCTAGGCAGGGCCTGGGTTGACATGCCTGTTGCTGTGTTGCAGAATTCACACTGGCGACAGACCCTACAAGTGCCCACACCCTGGCTGTGAAAAGGCTTTCACGCAGCTCTCCAACCTCCAGGTCAGTGCCCTGGCTGGGTGCCCGGCATGTGCCCAGCCCAGTGGGGTCAGCCCACGGGGGGCCGAGCCCTTGGAGTGGGGAGACACAAGTGGTTGCAGGATGGAGTGGGGCAGAGAGCTCTTGATGGGGGTGGGGAGCAGAAACTAAGAGGCTGATGGGGGAAGGGGAAGAGGAGTAAACCCCTGGCCTAGGTCATGGAGCTGGGTAGTTGAAGTGAAGGGGGAGACATCTCTTCCAACCCAATGGATGTGATTCCAGGGAACAGCTTCAGTGTCTGGGGACCTAGGACTGGGGGAGGTGGCGCCGATGCCCTGAGCCAGGCAGGGGGCTGTGGGGATCGATAGTCGTTGGCCCCTGTCCCACAGGGGTGTCTGGTCTGCCATTGGTGTGACAAAGGGCTGCGTTTGTCTAACCTCGTGGTCCCCCAGCCGCTGGGCATGGGGGGGCGGGCACGGCCCAAGAGCTGCCATGGATTGTGCTACGTAACGCTGCCCGTGCCTCCTCCCCGCCCTCACAGTCACACCAGCGACAGCACAACAAGGATAAGCCCTACAAGTGTCCGAACTGCTACCGGGCGTACTCAGACTCGGCATCGCTGCAGATCCACCTCTCCGCACACGCTATCAAACACGCCAAGGCCTACTGCTGCAGCATGTGTGGGAGGGCCTACACCTCGGTGAGTGTGGCAGGAGGCGTGGGGGGCCAAGCACCAGCCAAGGCAGGGATGGGGCCTGCGGTGCCACTGGCAGGGTTTGTTCCAGAGACGGCTCATGCCCCCAGCCTGCGCCAACTCAGCCATGCGGGATGAGAAAGGGAGGGTCTCTCTGCCCACAGCCAGGTACTCATTGGGTGAGGAGCTCCTTAGCGCAGCAGTCATCCCAGCACTGGGAGGGAGGCTCTTACGGTGCTGCAGGGATCAGGCTTCAGCCACTCGCAAACCAGCTGGTAAGAGAAAATTGTTTTCTATTGGCTAGAGCCTGAAGCCTGGGCTTCTTCCCGCCAGGTGGAGGCAGATCCCTTGGGAGAGCCAATCAGCTTGTCACCTCTGAGTTGTCCTGTAGCTCTCCCAGGCAGGTGAATGAGGATGGATTCCGGGTGGGGGCATGGGGTGGGGGCTCCCTTCTGGGCACAGAGGGTGCCGGGGACGGGTCAGTTCCATCCCCACTGGAGGCAGGCAGTGGGCCCAACCCTCCTAGCTGCAGCGCTCACCCTGCTCCCGGTTCTCTTTCCCCGCAGGAGACGTATTTGATGAAGCACATGTCCAAACACACCGTGGTGGAACACCTAGTGAGCCAGCACTCGCCTCAAAGGACGGAGTCACCCAGCATCCCAGTGCGGATCTCGCTCATCTAATCTGGGGCTTCCTTGCCCACCCCTACCCTGCGCAGCTCTCCTCCCCCCAGTTCCGGATCGCCAGGGGGCAGCTTGGAGACGATCACACGGACCACCACCCCCCAGCACCGCCACCGAGTGCCCGCGCCTGCCGAGTCACGGGGAGCGACTGTGAAGACCCTCATCTTTTGGGAGAAATTAATGAATGAATTAATGTTTGGAAAACACCCCTCGGCCCTGGCCCCACCCCCAGCACCCTGCCGGGAGAGCCAGGGACTCGTCCACAGTTTTGGTGACATCCAAAGACTATTTCAGAGCACTTTGAATCTCTGTTTGGTTCCTTCATTTTCTTTCTTTTTTCCCTTCTTTCTGCCCCATCCTCCGTACTCCTTTCTGCTCTCTTTTGGATACAAGTAGAGAGAGAGAGAGATATATATATTGGCCAAGAAGTTGGTGCTGCTAAAACCGAAAACCCAAACTGGACAGAGAAGCGCTGGATGGCGTGGCAGGCAGGATCTAGGGCCTGGCGCTCGGGCTCCTTCAGCCTCAGGATGAGACTCTGGGACGTACCCAGCCTGGCGCTTGGTATCTGCTGCCCCTCCGGGACTCTCCATTGGGAGCCAGCGTGAGGCCGGCTGAGCAGGGAATGGCTTAACCTGCTGGCTGGAGAGGTGGGATCTGCTGGTGCAGGGACAGGTGCTGGAGCAGCAGCTGCAAGAGGGAGACCTTTGTTCCACAGACGTCGCTGTTCCCCACTGGGGCTCGTCCCTCTGCCACTTTGTCTAACCTCGTTGGGACATTTTGGTTGTTTCCTTTTGTTTGTTTCATTTGTCCCGGCTGGAGCTGCGCAGGACTGGCTGTCCCTGCGGCCACGCCGTGGTCCGTGCACATTTCCCGGCGGCGCGAGGCATCGCTGCTGGGGCTGTGCCCAGCGGGGGTAAGTGTGGTGGCTGCCGGAGGAGGCGCTCAGCCTACGACAGGGACACAGCTGGGGCTGGCCAAGTTCATGGAGAGCAGGGCTGGTCATGCCTCTGTGGAATCCAGAGATGCAGCCCATGAAGACCACGGGTCCCAGCATGCCGTGCTCTAGTGTGAGCTAAGCAGTATCCCGCCAGATCGGGAAAGCACATTGCCTGCTGGGAGCTGTAGTCTATAGGATTGGGGCAGGAGTCAGGCAGACTGTGGCCAGTTCAGATATAGGCCCAGCTGTGGGGCTCCCCTTTCCAGACTCCAGCTCTGCTAAGCCAGCCATGGTGTATGGGAGTGGAGGAGCACTTTGGTCATGGTGCTGAGGATCTGGGGAGGGAGGGGGGGGGTGTTGGGAGCCTCAGCTGCCCACGATCTGCGACCTCCCCCCGAGTCCATCTGGTGCTAACTAGGGATTGTCCTGAGCTATGAAGGGGCGTTCGCTACAGAAGAGCGAGTGTGAGAGATGGGTGCAGGGGGCTTGCTGCAGGTTATGCTCTTTGGCATGGATTTTACTTTTCAATCTCTCTTCCCCACTGTGGGCATCTAGGGCTGCTGCTCCGGAAGCCGGGGCACCACGCAGCCTGCCAGGGTTTCCAGAGTAGCGGCAGCCTGGGGTCTCCTCTCTCACCATCACCTCCTGGATCCTGTGCTTGCTTATCAAGGGGCTGGGCCCCAGGCAGAGTGTTGCATGTGGGAGAGGGGAGTCCGCCCCATGGGAAAGCTCCCTCCAGACCCCCAGCTACCATCCCCTGCGCAGTGCAGTACAACGGGCTCCTACACGCCAGCTCTGGCCCTCCCAGCTAAGGGTTCCCTTAACTCTGCTCCTCCCTCCAGGTTCCCAGCAGGGCACTGGCAAGCGCTTTCTGCACCTTCACAGGGTTCACATAGAAACCTCGTCTGGTGCCGGTCCCTGCCTCTCGCTGGGTCCCTGAACCCTGCGGCGAGGCTAGTGCTGACTCCGTGCCCTGGGGCTTTGGAGCAGTCGGTTGCTGTGGCACCTGCCGTGTCTGCAGGATGGTAATGAGCCCACCTGCAGAGCACCTGTTGGCTGGCACAGTAACAGCTGGGAGACAGCTGCCTGGGGCAGGGACTCCCACGCCAGCCTGCAGATGCGCCTGGGGGCTGGCCTGGTGCTCACTGGAACAGCTGCTGGCGGGGCACAGCTCCCATTCGCCCTGTGCACACGAGGGCCTGTGACTGGCTCCATTTCTGACCCAGCTGCACCTGTCAGCACAAGTCACTTGTTCTGAACTTGGCTGACCCTACCTGGGCGCAGCCGGCACCGTGGTTTGGGCTTTGGCTTGTGCTGTGTGAAACAGGGCCGGTTAGAATTAGATTTGAGGGTCACTTGCAAATGGCTGTATTGAGCACGGTAGGGCTCTGCAGGACCTGGGGAGATGAGCAGGAGAGTGCAGGGGACAGCCTGTGTTGCCCCTGCTCCCTGTTGCTGGCATCGGAGGTGAGCTGGGACATTAGCACCGCTTGGATCTGAAATTCTGATCTGTTGGGGTCTGATTCTGCTGCCATGACAAAGCTCTTCCAGAGGTTAGTGGGGCAGGATCAGACCGTGAGCCCTCCTGGGATGCAGGTAACAAACCAGCTCCCTCCCGAGCAAACTAAAGCACTAAAGGGGAAGAGGAAAGCCTGTGTGCCCAGGGGGCTATGCCCAGTAGCAGGGACTGGCAGTGCCTGAGGGGGTTGGCTCGCTCTGTCCTGGGACCATGTGCCTGGTCAGACGAGCGATGGGAGAAACGCAGAGAGGTCTGTATTCCCGGAGCGGCGTTCCTTCCCCACCTCCCCTGGCACCTCCTGGAAATCAGCCCCCCAGCAGTGCAGTCCCATGGCAGGGACCTTGGAGCAAGCTTAGGAGGGAGAAATCCAGCAACGTGAGACATGAGGCCCTTCCCTTCCCTGGGGTCACCCCACTGGGTACAGGAGAGGTACCGCAGGCATGGATCCCGCTGCCCTCCATGTGATTCCCTCGGGACAGCTGGGGCACCAGCTTGATCTCTGGCCTTTGGGGGCACTGAGCTGTTTTGGGAGCTGCAGAGCTTGCTCTCTGGCCAGATGGACTGGAGGGGGATTCCCCTAGCCGAGGGTGCTGTGGATCTGCCTCTCTGCCCTGCAGAACCCCACGTACCTGTCACCAAGAAGCAAATGCAGCAGGAAGAATTATTCACCATGTGTAAATACCTCCAATGCAGCAGCTTTGGAGGGGCCTGGCCCAGCCAGAGTCAATGACGGCAGCGTTCCTTGGGCGGGAGCTCGGAGCTAGCTCAGCTCAGCAGGGCCACGGTAGGGTCTAGGTAGGAGCTGGGACTGATGGAGAGCTCACCACTGCTCCAGCTGGAAGCACTGGCTGGCTGCTCACACACTAACCCAGCTTCTCCCAGCAGGAGGCGCTGTGCATTGCCAGAGAGAACATCCTCCCAAGCAGGAGGTGATACAGCCGCCTGTGGCCGCTGAAGCCTTTCACTGCCAGAACAGAAACCCTCCCAACCACGAGAGATTTAAAAAAGCAGAGTGGATCTATCCCATCCCTCTCCCCTCCCAGCAGCAAACCACAGATCCCTTCCTGTTGGGTGAAACCAATTCAATATGGTATTAAAGCAGCAAGTAGATGGACTTGCCCAGCTCCTTGCCAGCCTCCCTGTTTGGAAAGCCATGCCCATGCCTGCGGATGGATGGATGGATACATGGAGTTATATGTGTGTGCGCGTGTGTGTGTGTGCACACATAACACCTATGTATAGAGAAGGAAGAATGCCCCACGTCCCTCAGCCCTCCAAAAAAGACTAGACAAAAACTCATATATATTATGTACTCTTTGGTTCCGTTTTGGATATTAACTGTGTTATTTTTATACACTTTTTAAGCCTTAACTATATCATTGTTTTACCAGGTTGTTTGTTTATTGCCTACTCTGTTTATTAATTTGATTCTCTTTTTACCCTGCCCTCTGCCCTGACCTTTGTTTCTGAATTGATGTTGTACGATATTCAATATTGTAACCTTTTTGTCAGCATGTTAATACTGTGTAAATATGCCTCTTATACATACTGTTAACACATCTTTTTTTTTTTCTTTTTTTTTCTATATGAAAATCCAGGCCACGTGTCTCTAGATCTAGTTATTACCTTATTAAAAAAGAAAAAGGAAAAAAAAAAAAGGATTCTCCCTCCCCCTTCTCTCTGTCTCGCATTGTGGTTAACAGAAAGACATGAGGAGGCTGCGGCTTCCATATCGAAAGTTTGCATTATGTTTAAAAGAAAAAAAGTTTAAAAAAATTCAAAACAATTTTTCTCTTTGTATTTCTGTTGTGAAACAAAATAAACTGTACATGCAAACTTCTGAAGGCCTGGCAGCTGTGAGGCTGGTTTGTTCTGAGATAGTCAGGGTGGTAACTGGGTGGAGACCCAGTTGGGGCCAGAGTACAGCAGTGGAAATCAGAGCTCCTGGGTTCTCTCCTCTGTGCTGTATGACCCTGGCAGAGTCATTTTGCCTCCAAATCAATTTCCCCATGTGTAAAATGGAGATGATGAAACTGGGCCGCTCCTGAACGGTGCTTTGAGATGCATGGATGAGACTGGAAGGGGAAGTGTGATTTGACCGTCTTGGGCACTGTGTGCAGGGTGCTGTACAGGGTTGGGAGTGTAAATTACACAAGGCACAAGAGGCTCCCATTGGGATGAGCAGAGAATGCAGACTGAGTCCTATTTTTTACCCCCTTGCATGGATGTGAATAATGACACAAGGTGTGAAGCAGAGGGAATCAGCCCACAGCCATCCATCATCCCTGCTCCCCTCCTGTCCTGGCTTGCAGTACTAGAACTTGCTGTCTCTCAGCAGCTCACCTGGCAGAGAGAACCCACTGAGCAGGATCAGGGGAAGGTGTGCACTCTTCAGAGGCATCTGTAGGGCTTTGTTACTTCGAGGGGGCTCTCAGACAGTGAGTGCGTAGAATCGCAGAACTGTCAGGCTGGAAGAGACCTTGAGAAGTCACCTAGTCGAGCCCCCTGCACTGAGGCAGGCCCAAGTAAACCTAGACTATCCCTGACAGGTGTTTGGCCAACCTGTTCTGATAAGCCTCCAATGATGGGTATTCCACAATCTCTCTGGGAAGCCTGTTCCAGAGCTTAACTACAGTTAGAGCTGGCAAGTTTTTCCTAATATCTAACCTAAATCTCCCATGCTACAGCTTAAACCCATTATTTACCCCTTCCCATAACACAAGAAACAGGGGTCACTCAATGAAATGAACAGGCAGCAGGTTTAAAACAAGCAAAAGGAAGTATTTCATCACCCAACGCACAGTCAACCTGTGGAACTCCTTGCTAGGGGATGTTGTTGTGAAGGCCAAAAGCATAACTGGGTTCAAACAAGAATTAGATAAATTCATGGAGGATAGGACCATCAATGGCTATTGGCCAAGATGGTCAGGGTTGCAACCCCATGCTCTGGGTGTCCCTAAACCTCTGACTGCCAGAAGCTGGGCTGGATCACTTGGTAATTGCCCTTTTCTGTACTTTTCCTCTAATGCTTCTGTCACCAGCCACTGTCAGAAGACCAGATACTAAGCTACATAGATACTAAGATGTTGCCAAGAAGGTCAATGGCATTTTGGGATGTATATGTAGGGGCATTGCCAGCAGATCGAGGGACGTGATCGTTCCCCTCTATTCGACATTGGTGAGGCCTCATCTGGAGTACTGTGTCCAGTTTTGGGCTCCACACTACAAGAAGGATGTGGAAAAATTGGAAAGAGTCCAGCGGAGGGCAGCAAAAAGGATTAGGGGACTGGAACACATGACTTCTGAGGAGAGGCTGAGGGAACTGGGATTGTTTAGTCTGCGGAAGAGAAGAATGAGCAGGGATTTGATAGCTGCTTTCAACTACCTGAAAGAGGGTTCCAAAGAGGATGGATCTAGACTGTTCTCAGTGGTAGCTGATGACAGAACAAGGCGTAATGGTCTCAAGTTGCAGTGGGGGAGGTTTAGGCTGGATATTAGGAAAAACTTTTTCACTAGGAGGGTGGTGAAACACTGGAATGCGTTACCTAGGGAGGTGGTGGAATCTCCATCCTTAGAGGTTTTTAAGGTCAGGCTTGACAAAGCCCTGGCTGGGTTGATTTAGTTGGGGATTGGCCCTGCTTTGAGCAGGGGGTTGGACTAGATGACCTCCTGAGGTCCCTTCCAACCTTGATATTATATTCTATGACCCCTGTCTCAGCCTGGACTCAGCCCTTGCCTTTTCCCAGTTTAGATTCTTTGTTTTTTGACTCCATGCATCTGAAGAAGTGGTGTTTTACCCACGAAAGCTTATGCCCAAATAAATCTGTTAGGCCTGGTCTACACTACAAGTTTATGTCGAATTAAGAGCGTTAAATCGAATTAACCCTGCACCTGTCCACACAACAAAGCCATTTTTTCCGACATAAAGGGCTCTTAAAATTGATTTCTGTACTCGTCCCCAAAGAGGGGATTAGCGCTGAAATAGACATCGCCGTTTCAAATTAGGGTTACTGTGGATGCAATTCGACGGTATTGGCCTCCGGGAGCTATCCCACGGTGCACCATTGTGACCGCTCTGGTCAGTACTCTGAACTCAGATGCATGGGCCAGGTGTACAGAAAAAGCTCCAGGAACTTTTGAATCTCATTTTCTGTTTGGCCAGGCAAGCTCATCAGCACAGGTGACCATGCAGAGCTCATCAGCGCAGAGCTCATCAGGACCGAACGGGAGGTAGTGGATCTGATCGCTGTCTGGGGAGAGGAATCCATGCTATCAGAACTACGTTCCAAAAGACAAAATACCAAAACATTTCAAAAAATCTCCGAGGCCATGAGGGACAGAGGCTACAGCAGGGACACAACACAGTGCCGCGTGAAACTTAAGGAGCGTACCAGAAAACCAAAGAATCAAACAGACGCTCCGGGACAGAGCCCCAGACATGCCGCTTCTACGCTGAGCTACATGCAATTCTAGGGGGGGCCGCCACCACTATCCCACCCCTGTCCATAGACTCTGATGATGGGGTACTCTCCATCATGCCTGAGGATTTTACAGATGGGGAAGATGAGGAAGAGGAGGACGAGCTTGAGGAGAGCATACAGCACACCGTTCTCCCCGACAGCCAGGATCTTTTTCTTACCGTGACTGAAATACCCTCCCAACCCAAAAAAGCCGGAGAAGGGACCTCTGGTGAGTGTACCTTTTTAAATATAATACACATTATAAAAGCAAGTGTTTTTTAATGATTAATTTGCCCTGAGGACTTGGGATGCATTTGTGGCCAGTACAGCTACTGGAAAAGTCTGTTAACGTGTCTGGGGATGGAGCGGAAATCCTCCAGGGACATCTCCATAAAGCTCTCCTGGAGGTACTCTAAGATCCTTTGCAGAAGGTTTCTGGGGAGAGCAGCCTTATTCCATCCTCCATGGTAGGACACTTTACCATGCCATGCTAGTAGCAAATAATCTGGTACCATTGTATGACAAAGCCTGGCAATGTATGGTCCCGGTGTTTGCTGGCATTCAAGCAACATCCGTTCTTTATCTCTCTGTTATCCTCAGGAGAGTGATGTTGTTCATGGTAACCTGGTTGAAATAGGGGAATTTAATTAAGGGGAGATTCAGAGGTGGTCGTTCCTACTTGGCTGTTTGCCTGTGGCTGAAAAGAAATCCTCCCTGCAGTTAGCCAACCTGTGGGCGGGGGGGCATTGGCGCTGAACTGTTCGCTTTTGGCTAGCAGGGATCTTCCCTGATACCAGCCACACGGTGATGGGAGGGGTAAAGCGATCATCCCAGAGAATTGGATGGGGGGAGGGGTTAGTTTTGTTTCTGCTGCTGCATGTTAACACAAAAACCGCAGCACTAAATGGCCAACTCAACGTGCTTTGCTTGGTATGGGAAAGGAGGGCGCTGCTGTTATGAAGGTTGCAGAAGCCGAAAGACTGTGGCTTATCATGGCCACCTGTAAGCCGTTGCCTGTTGCCCGGCCCTGCATGTGTGATCTCTAACACCAAAGCCGCAGGTACTCAAAATAAGATGCAAAATGCGACCTTGTACCAAAATCACATGTGCTATGTAATGTGAATAGTGTTGTTCACCATGAAAGAGTATAGCCATTGTTCTGTAAAATGTATCTTTTTAAATACTTCACTCCCTTTTCTTCCTCCCACAGCTGTAAATGTTTCAAGTCTCCCTCCTCCGTTCCAGAGGCTATCTCAGATAAAGCGGCGAAAAAAACACACATGCAATGAAAAGTTCTCTGAGCTCATGCAGTCATCTGGCACTGACAGAGCTCAGCAGAATGTGTGGAGGGACACAGTAGCACAGTACAAGAAAGCGGCCAATGAACGTGAGGACAGGAGGGACGATCGAGACGAGAGGTGGCAGCAGGAAGATCAGAGGAGGCATGAGGCAACTGCAGGATCAAATGCTCCGGTGTCTGTGGACGTTCATGAATGGCAGCAAGATCACAGACTGCTGCTGCAGCCCCTGCTTAACCACCCTCCCTCCTCCCCAAGTTCCATAGCCTCCACACCCAGACGCCCAAGAACACGGGGTGAGAGGCTCCAGGCACCCAACCACTCCACCCGTGTGGACAGCCCAAGCAACAGAAGGCTGTCATTCAAGAAGTTTTGAAGTGGCCTTTTCCTCCCTCCTACCCTCCTCCCACACCATACCCAGGCTATCTTTTGATTTATCTCCCTATTTTTATAATCAATTAATGAAGAATACATTTTAAATGATAGTGACTTTATTTCCTTTGCAAGCAAGCTGTGATCGAAGCGGGGAGGGCAGGTGGCTTACAGGGAATTAGAGTCAACCAAGGGGGTGGGTTTTCATCAAGGAGAAACAAAGAGTAGTGTCACACGGTACCCTGGCCAGTCATGAAACTTGTTTTCAAAGCTTCTCTGATGCACAGCACTTCCTGCTGTGCTCTTCTAATAGCCCTGGTATCTGGCTGGGCAAAATCAGTGGCCAGGCGATTTGCCTCAAGTTCCCACCCCGCCATAAACGTCTCCCCCTTGCTCTCACAGAGATTGTGGAGCGCACAGCAAGCAGTAATAACAGTGGGAATATTGGTTTCGCTGAGGTCTGAGAGAGTCAGTAAACTGCGCCAGCAACCCTTTAAACGTCCAAATGCACATTCTACCACCATTCTGCACTTGCTCAGCCTATAGTTGAACAGCTCCTTACTGCTATCCAGGGTGCCTGTGTATGGCTTCATGTGACAGGGTAGGCTGGGTCCCCAAGGATAACTGTAAGCATTTCAACATCCCCAACAGTTATTTTCTGGTCTGGGAAGTAAATCCCTTTCTGCAGCGGTTTAAACAGACCAGTGTTCCTGAAGATGTGAGCGTCATGAACCTTTCCCAGCCATCCCACGTTGATGTTGGTGAAACGTCCCTTGTGATCCACCAGTGCTTGCAGCACCATTGAAAAGTACCCCTTGCGGTTTATGTACTGGCTGCCCTGGTGGTCCAGTGCCAAGATAGGGATATGCGTTCCAGCTATAGCCCCACCACAGGGAATCCCATTGCAGCAAAGCCATCCACTGTGACCTGCACATTTCCCAGAGTCACTACCTTTGATAGCAGCAGCTCAGTAATAGCATTGGCTACTTGCATCACAGCAACCCCCACAGTAGATTTGCCCACTCCAAATTGATTACCGACTGACTGGTAGCTGTCTGGAGTTGCAAGCTTCCACAGGGCTATTGCCACTCGCTTGTGAACTGTGAGGGCTGCTCTCATCTTGGTATTCTGGCACTTCAGGGCAAGGGAAAGAAAGTCACAAAGTTCCATGAAAGTGCCCTTACGCATGGAAAGTTTTGCAGCCACTGGGAATCATCCCAGACCTGCAACACTATGCAGTCCCACCAGTCTGTGCTTGTTTCCCGGGCCCAGAATCGGCGTTCCATGGCATGAGCCTGCCCCAGTAACACCATGATCTCCAAATTGCCGGGGACCGCGGTTTTAGAGAAATCTGTCCATGTCCTCATCACTCCGTCACCACGCTGCAGTCGCCCCTTCACCTGGTTTTTCAGGTTCTGGTTCTGCATAAACTGCATGATAATGTGTGAGGTGTTTACAATGGTCATACTGACTGCTGTGAGCTGAATGGGCTCCATGCTTGCCGTGCTATGGCATCTGCTCGGGCAATCCAGGGAAAAGGGTGCGAAATGATTGTCTGCCGTTGCTATCATGGAGGGAGGGTTGACTGATGACATATACCCATAACCACCCGCAACAAATTTTTGGCCCCATCAGGCATTGGGAGCTCAGCCCAGAATTCAAATGGGCAGGAGGGACTGCAGGAATTGTGGGATAGCTACCCACAGTGCACCGCTTGGAATGTTGACACTTGCCACGATACTGTGGACACACACGGCCGAATTAATGTGCTTAGTGGACGCATACGCTCGACTTTATACAATCTGTTCCCAAAAATCGACTTCTGTAAAATCGGAGTAATTTTGCATTGTAGACATACCCTTAGTCTTTAAGCTGCCACCTTAAAAACACCTCCTTGTTGTTTTTGTTTCTTCAGGTGTTTTCAGCAGTCTCCCTTCTTGGGCGGGGAGGCAGAGGAGAAGAGCCATGATTAACTTACTTCCCAGCCTTAAATAGAATTTATATAAGGCAGAAGCCCTTAGTTTCAAGTGGAAAAATACCAGCAGAGTCTAAGGTGGTACTCCGTACCAGGCGACATCATCAGATGACCTTGCAGTGTTAGAGCAACCATGAGACAAGGTTTACTTGTAAGGTCCACAGGAAGGAACTCCAGGAAGATGAGAGATCAGCGTCTTCAAAAACCTATTTTCATTCTTAATGGCTCTTCCAGGCTGATTGCATAGTGTCTGGTGGGCATTTCCCAGGTGTAACCACAGTTGTAATTATTACATAGTCAATATTCCTAACTTCAGATACAGAAATGATACATGTATACAAATAGGATAATCATATTCAGTAAAACATAACCTTTCCAATGATACCTTACATGACCCACCTTGCATAAAACATATCTTAGTTATGCCATATTTATATCATAATATTTCTATGAAGAATATGGGGTATAGCGTCACACCTCTCCCCTTCAATTACTGCTGGAGGGTTGGTTACTGACCAATGCAAAGGCAGTGTGCCTAAAGTTCTCTGTTAGTCTTTAAGGTGCCACCGGCCTCCTCGTTGTCTTTAGTTCTTGGTTATCTAATTTCAAATTGTACTGTCACCTACAGATGTTTTTGCGAAGTTCTGGGTACCTTTTTCCAAGTTGACTGAAAGCCTTTTAGAGTACAGCATTGTTAATACAAAGTATATATTAATATCCTGTAGAATGTAGATGTCTTGGCATTTAGCCACAAAGGCCATGAGGTGGTGTGCCTCAGTTTCCCCTTCCACACAGCAGTCTAGATTGGTTATGCTTTCTCTACCTTGCCAAGGTCTAAGCCTGTTTACAGGTACTAGCTGAGAAGTAGTATTCTTACAAGACTTCTTTGTTACCACTCTTAGTCTGTACCAAAGTTTCTTCCAAAAATCATGCATGTTACATATTTTTGAAGTATTTACCATCAGTACCAAATTCTTTGTCTTAACAGCCCTACATTCAGCTTGATGGCATGTCTGTGTCTGTCTGTCTATCACATGATGACTCAGGAGCACTATCTCTGATCAATTCCAAAACTGCAGAAATTGGTCTAGGAGTCAACAAGCAGAACCCTATTGATTTTGGTGAAAAATGGGAAAAGGGAAATGGGGGACACATGGAGCCCCAGACACCTCTGTAATAGGTCAAAATCCACTTGATAGGCCTTCGACACCTCTCAGTAACACACACCTCATTCCATCTTCTGCTTATCCTCCCAGCAGAGTCCGACCTGTTGACACCCTGAATGACATCTCCCAGACAAGAAGAAAAGAAATAATCGTGTGTGGCACGAGGGGATGGAGCTTAATGGGGCAGGCACAGAGAGCCCCTGGCATGGAGGGGAGGAGGAATCGGGGGCACACAAAGCCCCTGGAATGAAGGGGAGGAAGTCTAGGAGTCCCTGAACTAGAAGGGCAGTGGATGGTGACACACAGGAGACTTGTGGAGGGAATGGAGGGATTCCAGGAGCCCTGCCGTCGGGAGGTGAGTTGGGCCGACAGAAGCTATGAAGCGAGCGACACCCTAGTTGACATTCCCCAAGTCCCCATGCTGGGTTCCAGCCACATGCCCCCTGGGGGCTCTTGCTGGCAGAGTCACTGATCTGTCGGGCACACCAAACTGCGTGGCTTCTCGGCCCACAGCAGCCTAGAGATGCAGATGTCTCCACATGGCCCGATGGCCTCATCCCAGCAGTACTCCGGAGACAAGATCTTGGTTGGCTTGTGCAGCTGGAAGTACTTATTGAGGTGGCTCTCGTCATGCCAGCGGGGCCTCCATGCCATTCCTCTTGTTCTGGAAGCAGCTTTCCGTCAGGTTCTTCACTGTGGGCATGACCCCTGAACACTGCTGCGCGGTAGTGGCAGTCCCCTGCACCTGGGCCCAGAAAGGCAGCTGGTCTGAGGTTTCGGTCAGAGGTGAAGTAGAAGCAGGTCCACTGGTCGAAATAGGAATGGAGCAGGGCAACGGACTCGGCCAGCGCTCCCAGCCTGAAGGCTCCAACAAAGAACTGGTCGATATACAGGCAGAAAACTTACTGGGCCTCCCTGCAGATAGCAGGGTCCAGGCCCTGGGTGAACCAATGTCTCCTCATCATGGAGACATCCTGCCAGCGCTTCTGGTTCTCCACCATCAGGGTCCGCAGGTGCCGCTCCGTGACCAGGCGGAGCCGCGGCACCGCACCCACCCTGTCTGTGAAGATGTAGTAGATCACCCTCCAGCCCACCATTAAGTGTTCCTCAGCCGTCACCAGGAAATGCTCCAGACACTTAACCAGGTACCTGCACAAGAGGTGGCAGAGGGTTAGGGGGCCAGGCTGGCCCCAGGTGCCTGGGACTGCCCAGGGAAGAAGGATGGTCCCATGGTTCAGGACCAGGCAGGGATCAGACCACTGGGCCATCTCATCTGGTGTCCACCTTCTGCCCTACCAGCTGAAACCCTCATCCTTCTAGCCTGGTTCTTCCATTGCCACTTGCCAAATGGGTCAGGCCAGACTATTGGGCCCAGATCCTAAAGGTTCTTTTGGCTCCTATTTTACATTGGAATCCCTTTGACGCTCTGGGCCTTCGTCCATCCAGCCCAATATCCTGTCTCAACCTGATGCTTCAGAGTAAGAGAGAACCCTCTGTGACATATTCCAGGAGTGCAACCTGGAACTGTAGGACCACTGTGCCTCCTTAACTCTCCTCCCTGGCTGTCTCTTACAATGCCATGCTATTGACAAGCAGCAAATCCCTCCATGTGCTGTGATCACTCAGCCAACAGCATAGACTCATAGAAGATTAGGGTTGGAAGAGACCTCCGGAAGTCATCTAGTCCAAACCCCTGCTCAAAGCAGGACCACACCAACTAAATCATCCCAGCCAGGGCTTTGTCAAGCCAGGCTTTAAAAACCTCTTAAGGATGGAGATTACACCACCTCCCTAGGGAACCCATTCCAGTGCTTCACCACCCTCCTAGCCCTGGTCTACACTAGGAGTTGAGGTCGAATTTAGCAGCGTTAAATCAATTTAACACTGCACCCGTCCACACGATAAAGCCCTTTTTTTCGACTTAAAGGTCTCTTAAAATCAATTTCCTTACTCCACCCCCGACAAGGGGATTAGCGCTTAAATCAGCCTTGCTGGGTTGAATTTGGGGTACTGTGGCCGCAATTAGATGGTATTGGCCTCCTGGAGCTATCCCAGAGTGCTCTATTGTGACCGCTCTGGACAGCACTCTCAACTCAGATGCACTGGCCAGGTAGACAGGAAAAGGCCCGCGAACTTTTGAATTTCAATTTCCTGTTTGCATGGTCACCTGCAGGTTGCCACGCTGGCCAGAGCTCATCAGCAGAGGTGACCATGCAGAGCTCATCGGCAGAAGTGACCATGATGGAGTCCCAGAATCGCAAAAGAGCTCCAGCATGGACCGAACGGGAGGTACGGGATCTGATCGCTGTATGGGGAGAGGAATCAGTGCTGTCAGAACTCTGTTCCAGTTTTTGAAATGCCAAGACATTTGTCAAAATCTCCCAGGGCACGAAGGACAGAGGCCATAACAGGGATCCGAAGCAGTGCCGTGTGAAACTTAAGGAGCTGAGGCAAGCCTACCAGAGAGGCAAACAGCTGCTCCGGGTCAGAGCCCCAAACATGCCGCTTCTATGATGAGCTGCATGCCATTTTAGGGGGTTCAGCCATGTTGTTTGACTCCTTCAATGGAGATGGAGGCAACACAGAAGCAGGTTTTCGGGACAAGGAAGATGATGATGATGATGATGAGGTTATAGATAGCTCACAGCAAGCAAGCGGAGAAACCATTTTTCCCGAGAGCCAGGAACTGTTTCTCACCTTGGACCTGGAGTCAGTACCCCCCAAACCCACCCAAGGCTGCCTCCCGGACCCGCCAGGCAGAGAAGGGACCTCTGGTGAGTGTACCTTTTAAAATACTATACATGGTTTAAAAGCAAGCATGTTTAATGATTAATTTGTCCTGGCATTTGCGGGTCTCCTGGATGTACTCCCAAAGCCTTTGCAAAAGGTTTCTGGGGAGGGCAGCCTTATTCCATCCACCATGGTAGGACACTTTACCACAGCAGGCCAGGAGCACATACTCGGGAATCATTGTAGAACAAAGCATTGCACTGTATGTCTGCTGGCATTCAAACAACATCTGTTCTTTATCTCTCTGTGTTATCATTCATGGTCACCTGGTTGAAATAGGGTGCTTTTCTTAAGGGGACATTCAGAGGTGCCCGTTCCTGCTGGGCTGTTTGCCTGTGGCTGAACAGAAATGTTCCCCACTGTTAGCCACGGGGAGGGGGGAGGGGCTAGCCACGTGGTGGGGGGAGGCAAAATGCGACCTTGGAACGAAAGCACATGTGCTGTGTATGTAATGTTAACAGCAAGGTTTACCATGAAAGAGTGTACCCATTGTTCTATAAAATGTGTCTTTTTAAATACCACTGTCCCTTTTTTTTTTCTCCACCAGCTGCATGTGTTTCAAGGATCACAGGATCTTCTCCTTCCCAGAGGCTAGTGAAGATTAGAAGGCAAAAAAAAAACGCACTCGTGATGAAATGTTCTCTGAGCTCATGCTGTCCTCCCACACTGACGAATGCATGGAGGCAGACAATGTCAGAGTGCAGGAAAGCACAAAATGACAGGGAGGAGAGGTGGCGGGCTGAAGAGAGTAAGTGGTGGGCCGAAGAGAGGGCTGAAGCTGAAAGGTGGCGGCAGCATGATGAGAGGAGGCAGGATTCAATGCTGAGGCTGCTGGAGGATCAAACTAATGCACTCCAGCGTATGGTTGAGCTGCAGAAAAGGCAGCAGGAGCACAGACTGCTGCTACAGCCCCTGTGTAACCAACCGCCCTCCTCTCCAAGTTCCATAGCATCCTCATCCAGATGCCCAAGAACACGGTGGGGGGGCCTCTGGCCAACCAGCCACTCCACCACAGAGGATTGCCCAAACAACAAAAGCCTGGCATTCAATAAGTTTTAAAGTTTTAAACTTTTAAAGTGCTGTGTGTCCTTGTCCTTTCCGCCTCCACCACCCCTCCCCGTGCTTCTCTCCTCCATCACACGTCCCAGGCTAACTTGGCAGTTATCCCCCTATTTGTGTGATGAAATAATAAAGAATGCATGAATGTGAAGCAACAATGACTTTACTGCCTCTGCAAGTGGTGATCGAAGGAAGGAGGGGAGGGTGCTTAGCTTACAGGGAAGTAGAGTGAGCCAAGGGGCAGGGGGTTTCATCAACTATCGGTATTTCAACATCTCCAACGGCTATATTCTGGTGTGGGAAGGAAGTCCCTTGCTGCAGCTGTTCATACAGACCAGAGTTCCTGAAGATGCGCGCGTCATGTACCTTTCCCGGCCATCCCACATTGAAACATCCTTTGTGATCCACCAGTGCTTGCAGCACTATTGAAAAGTACCCCTTTCGGTTTACGTACTCGCTGCCTTGGTGCTCCAGTGCCAAGATAGGGATATGGGTTCCGTCTAGCGCCCCAATACAGTTAGGGAATCCCATTGCAGCAAAGCCATCCACTAGAACCTGCACATTTCCCAGAGTCACTACCCTTGGTAGGAGCAGCTCAGTGATTGCATTGGCTACTTGGATCACAGCAGCCCCCACAGTAGATTTACCCACTCCAAATTGATTACCAACTGACTGGTAGCTGTCTGGCATTGCAAGCTTCCACAGGGCTATTGCCACTCGCTTGTGAACTGTGAGGGCTGCTCTCATCTTGGTATTCATGTCCTTCAGGGCAAGGGAAAGCAAGTCACAAAGTTCCATGAAAGTGCCCTTACACATGCAAAAGTTTTGCAGCCACTGGGAATCATCCCAGACCTGCAACACTATGCAGTCCCACCAGTCTGTGTTTGTTTCCCGAGCCCAGAATCGGCATTTCATGGCCTGAGCCTGCCTCATTGCCACCAGGATGGTGAAATTGCCAGGGCCCGTGCTTTGAGAGAAGTCTGTTTCCATGTCCTCATCACTCTTGTCGCCGCGCTGCCGTCGCCTCCTCGCCTGCTTTTGCAGGTTCTGGTTCTGCGTATACTGCATGATAATGTGCAATGTGTTTACAATGCTCATAACTGCTGTGGTGATCTGAGCGGGCTCCAGTAGGAGAACACTTCAAGCTTTCTGGCCACTCAGTGAAAGACTTAAGGGTGGCAATTTTGCAACAGAAAAGCTTCAAAATCAGACTCCAATGAAAAACTGCTGAGCTTGAATTAATATGCAAACTAGATACCATTAACTTGGGTTTGAACAGAGACTGGGAGAGGCTGGGTTATTACACATATTGAATCTATTTCCCCATGTTATGTATCCTCACACCTTCTTGTCAACTGTCTGCATTAGTAGGAGCATTGTCAACAGATCGAGGGACGTGATTATTCCCGGTCAGTTGGGAATCAATTTGGGAAGGGTAAATCTACTGTGGGGGCTGCTGTGATGCAAGTAACCAACACTATCAAAGATCTGCTGATATCAAGGGTAGTGACCGTGGGAAATGTGCAGGTCATAGTGGATAGCTTTGCTGCAATGGGATTCTCTAACTGTGGTGGGGCCATAGATGGAACCCATATCCCTATCTTGGCACCGGAGCACCAAGCCGGCGAGTACATAAACCGCAAGGGGTACTTTTCAATAGTGCTGCAAGCACTGATGGATCACAAGGGACGTTTCACCAACATCATCAGTGTGGGATGGCCGGGAAAGGTACATGACGCTCGCATCTTCAGGAACTCTGGTCTGTTTCAAAAGCTGCAGGAAGGGACTTTATTCCCAGACCAGAAAATAACCGTTGGGGATGTTGAAATACCGATAGTTATCCTTGGGGACTCAGCCTACCCCTTAATGCCATGGCTCAAGAAGCTGTTCACAGGCAGCCTGGACAGTAGTCAGGAGCTGTTCAACTATAGGCTGAGCAAGTGCGGAATGGTGGTAGAATGTGCATTTGGATATTTAAAAGCACGCTGGTGCAGTTTACTGACTTGGTTAGACCTCAGTGAAACCAATATTCCCATTGTTATTACTGCTTGCTGTGTGTTCCGCAATATTTGTGAGAGTAAAGGGGAGAAGTTTATGGGGGAATGGTAAGTTGAGGCAAATTGCGTGGCCACTGATTACATGCAACCAGATACCAGGGTGATTAGAAGAGCACAACAGGGTGCACTGCGCATCAGAGAAGCTTTGAAAACCAGTTTCATGGCTGACCGGGCTACAGTGTGACAGTTCTGTTTGTTTCTCCTTGATGAAAACCTGCCCCCTTGGTTAACTCTACTTCCCTGTAAGCCAACCGCCCTCCACTCACCCCTTCGATCACCGCTTGCACAGGCAATAAAGTCATTGTTGTTTCAAATTCATGCATTCTTTATTAATTCATCACACAAATAGGGGGATAACTACCAAGGTAGCCCAGGAGGGGTGGGGGAGGAGGGAAGGACAAGGGCACACTGCACTTTAAAACTTATTGAATGCCAGCTTTCTGTTGCTTGGGCAGTCCACTGGGGTGGAGTGGTTGGGTGCCTGGAGGCCCCCCACCATGTTCTTGGGCATCTGGGTGAGGAGGCTATGGAACTTGGGGAGGAGGGCGGTTGGTTACACAGGGGTTGCAGTGGCGGTCTGTGTCTTTCCTGCACCTCAACCATATCCTGGACCATATCAGTTTGATCCTCCAGTAGCCTCAGCATTGACTCCTGCTTTCTGTCAGCAAGGTGACG